GATATCGTGACTGGTATGTCGACGATACCCAGTGTTAGGATATTATGACATCTCTGCTCAAATACTCTTTTTTTAGGATATATTAGAATAGTACATAATATTACATGATATTACATACCCACCTATTCTGAGGTTTGAAGGTGTTCAGTTTTTAATAATACACAATGTATTTGTATTTGCGCATCTTTGTTTTTTAATCTAATTTTTCCAATTTTTAATACTCGTTCTCAAACATTACTTTTTATTGAAACTGATCGCATTCTTATTTTTAAAATGGCATTATTCATCAATAAAAGTTTTGATCAAATATTAAAGTTCTTATTTCATGATTGATAACAATACGTTCTCTTTGTTTCAAAATATAAAACATTGAATTATACATCAATCAGTAAATGGTTTGAGTTTTTCAGTATAATAGCTGTGTCGAGAAATCTATCGTGAAACGATGTTGATTATTTTAGCTTTAGTACGAATCTAAGATTTTCATACAGCAGTTCTCAACGCTATCATATTCTAGTTTAGGTCAACTGATTCATAAAAATAAGATTTCAGCTAATTTCTTACTTAAAAACTCGATCCCAATTGAATGTATCTCTAATTAACTATGAATTCGCCATGACAGTAATTCTATATCAGACAATTTTATTTCATGATCATTTAAATAATATTTATCTTCTTCATAATTCATTTATTTTTTATATTCAGGTAATTTTCTATTATTTAAAAATGAATTACAACCGATCGAATCGTTAACATTAATTCAATCAAAACAACTTATTCCCAGGCCGAACATTCCGGCCCCTGAATCCCGTAGGATACTCCAGGGAATATGCTGGAAAGTCACTATATCCTGCAGGAAAACACGGCAAATCGTTAGAACATCGAAGCAGTATTCCGGTCAAAAATACGGTCGGACTTTTCCGGTGAATTCCTGCCAAATTCCGGCGCTTTCCGGCAGGAATTGATTAGAAATCAACAGAAAAAATGCTAAACACTTCCAACCGGAACACTGCTTCCACAAAATCAACGACACTACCCGGAACCGGCCGTTTCCAGGCCGGATTGTTCGGCCTGGGTTGATATCATTAAATATCATTACTGCGATGAGCAACTATAAAATTAAAGATAAAATGAGCTCAATTGAAGAATTACCACCGGTTCAACAAAAAGTATTAGCATCATTAGAATTATGGGGAAATGAAGAAATGAAGAAGGAAAACTATTCGAAATTATTAAATTCAATACACGAATTAAAAGAATCATCACAATTTGATCAGATCAAGCATGAACTTGATACACTTTTCGAACGTTGATCAATTCAGATGATGTTTGTGATGAAATGTATATTTATGTTATTGATGAAAAACATGAAGATAACTGCGTAGTTATATTTATTTTCTTTTTTTTGTTTACTTGTTCTTGTTTCACTTGATTTCTTTGTAAAAATAAACAGTATGATTGATAGAGCAAAAAGAGACTTATTTTAGCTATTAATAGATGAATATTTATCTTCTAGTTTTGAATTAAAAAATCATAATTATTCGTTTGTTCATTGATAACATGCTCTCTGATCAATTGAAACTTGCATGCAGATTACTCGATATGCTCATCTCATCAATTCCATACATATCTATATTTACATTCATTTCATTCTTCTTGATTCAGACAAATTGAATAATAATTTTG